AAGAGCGCGCACAGTCGGGAGCTTGGCCGTGGGCGAGAATGTTTCGAAGAAGTCGAGATACTCCTTCTGGGTGAAACCCTTCGTCACGTATCGTGCCTTGAACAGTGGAGCTTTGTCTGGGAGATGTTTGACTCGGAAGATCCATTTTCCGCCAACGATGTTAACACCGGAAGGGGGAACGACATCGTCAAAGCTGTTGTTTCGAATGGACGCCTTGTTCTCCCCATCCATTGCTGCCTTCCACTCCTTCTTATAAGGCCCCGAGAGAGCTTCCTCTTTTGTGCGAGGAGTCGGAATGGTCGGGTTCTCGGTGAAGTTGAGGGAAGGGCAGTCAGTAATGTCCGGGAAGATGTGAGAGAGAAATTGGCAGACCGCGTGAAGGTCAAACAGCTCCTCATGCCTGTCCTCCAGAAGTGCACGGGGGGGAATACGGATCAAGGGGGACATCACCCCCCGCAGGAGGACGCGGGGTGACCGAACACCGGATGGAGAAGGCGGCTGGTCCCCAGGTGAGAGGCGGAGCCGGTCCCTTGGAACAAGTGCGACTAGAGACCGGAGACGAAGGCGGCTGCAGTGGGACCGGAGGGACTGGGCGCTTCCGGTAGGAGACTGGTGAGCCGGGCTCGACGCGGGGGGAAGGCGGAGCAGGAGGAGGTGCCGCTGCGGAGGATACTGGGGAGGCTGGGTGAGACACGCCGGACAGAGAAGGCCCCGGAGAAGGGGCAGCGGCCGGAGGTGGGGCATCGAAGTCTGCCCAAACAAGCGTCGGGGAAGGTGGAGGAGGCTCGCCCGTGGTCGCAGAGTGGAATGGGCGTGTCCCATCGAAGACGACATCACGGCTGCGAATCAGCTGTCTGGTGATTGGGTTGAGGAATAAGTACTCTGGGGAGTCGGAGTTGTGCCCCAGGTACATGCAGGTCTGGGTTTTGGGACCAAGCTTGCCACCTTGCTTCCTGCGCGTCTGGGAGCTGAGCAACACATATGCGGTACACCCCCAGACGCGTAGACAGCAGGCGGAGGGTGTGGCCCCAAGCCAGAGAGTGGTAGGTGTGGTTTCGGGCCGGTGGGGATGCGGATAAAGATTGTAGAGGAGAGCCGCATGGAAGAGGGCATATCCCCACAGTGACCGTGGTGCGTTGGCGTGATTGAGGAGGCAGCAATCGATTTGATCCAAGGTGTGGTTGCGACTCTCTGCAATGCCGTTCTGCTGCGGGCTTTCGGGGAGCGTGAGGGTCTTCCGAATCCCTTGGGCCGCACAGAAGTTATCGAGTTTGCCATTGCAAAATTCTCCCCCGCCATCAGAATGGAGGCACTTCAGAGGAGTGCCGAACGTGACTTGAGCCTGGCGCACCCATGCCATTATGACGGCAGGTGCCTCCGCCTTGGTGTGCAAGAGGTGCACAGAAACATACCGCGAGTGGTCATCGACTTGTGTAAGAAAGTATCGATGACCGCCACAGGATGCGACTGGAGCTGGGCCCCAGACATCCATGTGCACTAGGTCCAGCGGAGCAGCTGCGACGGATGGGGAGGAAGGGTGCGGCTGCTGCCTGAGCTTGCTTTTGGTGCAGTCCACGCAGGTGGGTGCAGGTGAGTCTGTTGGTGGAGGAAGTGCCGACGGGAGGCCAAGAAGAAGTTTCTTGGAAGCGATGTCAGCAAGCGTACGGAAATTGGGGTGACCCAAGCGATGATGGTAGAGGATGGTTGGGTTGGCGAAGCTGCGACACGAACACGGAGTAGTGTTGGCAGCTTGCGCTTGGGAGAGGGCGGCGAGAGGTGTAGGTGAACGCAGCGTGAAGAGCTTGCTGCTGTTGAGTGTGAAGCGTGCTAGGAGCTTGTTGGACTTAGGGTCAAGGAGGTCACAGTGATCCGAGTGTGCTGGGAAGATCGTGGTGACGCCTGCCCGTTGGAGCTCGTGTTGGGCCACGAGATTGTGGCGTAGTGTGGGAACACACATGCCGGTGACACTGCCCGAAGGAAAAGCTGGGCACGGAACTGTGGAGGAGCCCTTGGCGTGTGTTGTAAAACTGGAGTCTGCTCCTAGTAGACGGATTGGTGTCTCGTATGGCTTGAAGGAGTGTTCTTCCTTGAGAACCGTGTGAGTGGCCCCACTGTCGAGGGTGAACTCTATTGTGGCTGAGGTGCTTTGTGAGCCGGGACACTGCGAAATCATCTCATTAGTCATGACAGTTCCAGGGAACAGCATGTTGAGGCGCACATCAGCAAGGGGGGCTACAGCAGCCTGCACGGATTCCTGCGCTTCGACTTGATTGACCTTGCGAGGAGCACGATTGACCATCCAGCTTGGCGGTTTCGAGGCGGTCCCATTGACGGCATACCACTCGTCATCCTTCTTCTTGAAGCAGGAGGCAAGGGCGTGGTTGGTGACGCCACACACTTGGCCGGCACGAGGGCCGCGCTTGATGACGTAGGGACACGGGGGGAAGCGGTTGCGCTGGAATGGCACCGAAGCGGCATAGGCTTGAGGCACGGGAGCGCGGATTGCATTGGCCTTGGCTTGAGTGCTGTTGTCCTTTTTGGCAGAAAGGAGCGCAGATGAGACCTTGGCAAATGTGAGGTCCGCAGGAGCAAGGCCCAAGAGCATCTTGCGTGTGACTTCGTATGCCGGAGTGAGGCGGACTAGGAAAGCGATTGCAGGGGCTTGCTCGGGGAAGACTATCCCCAACTGCTTGAGTTCACCATGAATGGACTGCACTTGGTGACATAGTCCGCCATGCCTGGCGAGTCCTCGAGACACACTTGGAACATGCTAGGGATGAGTATAGCAACTCCCACTGCAGTCTTGTTCAGGAAGCGATCCTCGAGGTAGAGCCAAATGGCGTTGGCAGACGGGTAGTTGTGGTAGGTTTCGACGAGTTCGGGAGGAGTGGTGCCCATGAAGACACTAATGACTGCACCATCAGCCTTCTCCCAATTTTTGTACTTGAGCAGTGCAGCAGCATAAACTGCTTCGGCGGCGGCATTAGCTGGATCGGCGGACCTCTCGGGTTTAGGAGGCTCTTTGCCGTCACCAATGTTGAGAAGAACGTCGGTGAGCTTGAGCCCCTTCACCTTGTGACTGAGAAGGTGCTTGTCGACACCATAGCACCAAGCCTTGTAGTTGGAGCATGTATCGTCCGGCTCGAGACGAAGGAGTGGGATCGGGTTGGCGAGTGAAGTGGTTGAGTAAGCCATTCCCATTTGATTTTCGCGAGGCGACGCTTTTAGGTCACCGATAAGAACTTCGGTGCGCAGCGCGGCACTTCTGGAAATCGGTCGACGAGAATTGCTGAAAATCACTCAGACGGCTTGGCATGGTAAGGGAGAATGGATGAAGGGGGAATCGGAGGGAATCCCCATTGGAATCTTCGGAATCTCCAATTGGGTAATTGGAGATTGGGGGGATCACAATTGGGTGAGGTTGGGATTTTGTTAGTACACTCCAACCCACTAGAACGTTCCTAACCTAAACTAGGATATAAAAGTACAAATACAAAAGTAGGATTTGCAATCTATTTCTAACACCTTATTCTGCATCTGCTGCTGCTGGTACTGCTTCTTGTGCTGTTGCTGGTAGTGGCCCTACAGCTCGTGCTGTTGGTGCCAATATTTCCGCTAGTGGGACGGAGGCCACTGATGCTATTAGTGGTACTGGTGGCACTACTACTGGTCCGGCCACTGGTGGAGCTGATGGTGCTGCTGCTGCTGGTAATTTTCGCAAGGATCCTGTTGCCGGCACTGATGGTAGAAGGTCTGAGGCCGATGCAGCATCAGCAGCAGCAGCAGCAGCAGCGGTAGCAGCAGCAGCAGCAGCAGCAACAGGAACAGTTGGAATTGGTCATTCCAAGGGCTGAAATGTGGAGTCTGCAGCATTCATGCTAGCAGCTCTTTAAACAGTATTAGAGGAACCAGCATCACCTTATGTTGCAGTGCCAGGAGCAGGTCTGAGATTGAAACCAGTGCAAAAAGAAGCCTCAGTAGCAACACTAGAAGCAGCAGCAGCAGCAGCCACTGGTGATCCTAGTGCAAGCAATTTGGATATAACAAGTGCAGAACGCCACAGCACCGCGACGCACAGCATAGCAGAGGGCAGAGGTGCGAGTGAAGGTGTAGGCACCACCTAAGATGGAGTAGGAGGGGGAAGGGAAGGCAGCACAGGGCGGGAAGATGCAAGCGGGAGGCTGAAGACGCTGCAGAGGGCGGTAGGGCTGGACATCTTCAACGCCAGGAGAGCAGCGCAGGGGAAGGCAGGTGCTGTGGGAGGTGTTAGAAATAGACTGCAAATACCACTTTTGTATTTGTACTTTTATATCCTAGTTTAGGTTGTGAATGTTCTAGTGGGTTGGGGTGTACTCACAAATCCCAACCTCACCCAATTGTGATCCCCACAATCTCCAATTACCCAATTGGAGATTTCGGAGATCCCAATGGGGATTCCCTCCAATTCCCCCTTCACCCATTCTCTCTCACCTTGCCTTGTACTTATAGAGCCTGGGGCTCCTTACCTAATCAATTATTTTAATTCTATTTCTTACAGGAGGTGCCTTTGGGGCTGTGGGGGCAGGTTCCATGCCCGAGCTGGCAAGGGGGGCATCGTTGAGGGAGGGTGAGGAGATGGCGGCTCTGAGGGAGTGGCTGGACGAGGCGGGGGAGAGGAGGACGCTACCTGCTCTCCGCCCTTCTCCCCAACAGCCCCCTTCCCTGCCTTTGAATCCTCTGCTCTGGACCTCAGCATTGGCAACGGCACAGCAAGCGATGGGAGTAGCGAGACGAGCAGCAGTGGTGGGGGAAGCATAAGGAGCAGCAGAACGAGCAACGGGGCAGGCAGTGCAGTGAGCAGCAGGGCGAGTAGCAAAACAAATAGCCAAGAAGGCGATAGAAGCAGCAGTGAGAGAAGAAGCAGCAAGAGGGCGAGAGTTAGGCGGGTGAAGGCGCATCGGGGGCCAGTGGTAGCGGTGGAGCTGTAGAAGCATGCATAGTCACGGGGTATGCTGTGTTAGGATTAAGGACAGAGTCTAGGTGAACTTAGGAGCTAGAATTACTCAAAATATAAATCCGAAATTCTGGACAGAAAAGTCGTCTTCACAAGAAACAACGTCGACGAAAAACTAGCCGTTGGAATGTCGCGAAACTTGGATATGTTGTAGCTCTTAATCTCAGCTACCGTTCCCAATTTGAATCACGTTGATTGATGAAGTATTCGCGACGCTATGGCTTTCGACGCATTAGGGGGTAAGCTGTAGGAGGAGAACTTAACTCAATCTCAAGAGTTCAATCAAAGTTCAAGAATCTCACAAGGAATTAGAAGGAGCAAGAGAAAGGTTGGGATAGGAAGAGAGGGATGAGAGGGAAGGTCCCAAGAGAGTCCCCAACCAAGGAAACCCCATAAGCACAAAGATTCCCTCCCTATAGGAACCTCAACTTTGACCTTTGTCCCTTCCCAACCAATCCATCCAAGTTGGCCACCCTTGCCAACCTAGCTTGGTTGTTCCCAACCAATTTGCAGCTGTTACAGTAGAGTGACAAATTTCCCAAACCCCAAAGGTCCCAACTCCATATAAATTCACCCCACAACTTCACTTAGTAACCGCCGCAATTGTAACGCAAGCTCATGAACTTTGAATCTTCATAGCTTTCGCGTTGTTGCTCCAATTGAAGAGATTCTTGTTGCGTCGGAAAGATCTTCTCAAGATCTATCATCACAAATACCTGCTCAAACAAAATAACACATAACACATTCCCAAACTCCAGAACACACACCACACAAATGCTTGCACATTCAAACCACACATGCAAGTTGAAAACATGGGATGGGAGGCAGACAGAATGTGATAGCATATGATGACATCACACAACAATCTCCCCCTCTGGCTGCCAACCATCATCCACCATACCACATCTCAAGCATGCATACTCAATGCACACTCATCCCAGCAAGCTTCATGCCCTTCCAATGATCCGCCTCCGCCAGACGCTTGGTGAAAATATCTGCTGCCTGCTGATGGGTCTTCACTATCTCCAGCCGCACCTCCTTATCAAGGAGTCTCCTCACCCAATGCCACTTAGGCCTTATGTGTTTTGTCAGCCCATGCAGACAAGCATTCTTGGCGAGCTTCACAGCGGACTCATTGTCACAAAACACAACTGTCGGCTCCTCCTGACCAACTCCCAACTCCTCCAACAAACGCCTTAGCCACACTACTTCCTTGGCCCCATGGTGTAAGGCCATGTACTCAGTCTCACATGAGGACAATCCCACCTCATTTTGCTTCTTGCTGCGCCAGCTCACAGCACCACCTCCTAGCAAGCACACATAACCCCCAATGCTGGTGCCATCCGCTTTCACTGAGTTGAAGCTAGCGTCAGTATAGCAACTCAAGAGCATCTCTCCACTCTTCACATCTGCAGCACCTCTCTGCAACCGCTGCCTCACTCCACTGTACTCCAATCCCACTGATGCCGTAGCACTCACATAGCGGACCAACCTCTTGGCCGCTTCCAGCTGCTCATGACTAGGGCGTGAGACCACACTAGCCAATCGTGATGTAGCAAATGCAATATCAGGCCGTGTATGATTTGCAGCATAATTCAGCGACCCAACCATCGAATGAAACAGCTTTCTGTCACTCTCACCCACTACCTCCTCATCAGCACATGGCTCCACAGTAAACCCTGAAGGTAGTGGTGTTGCTGGCTTTCCCCCATCTTGCAGCCCATACTTTTCAGCCAGCCCCTCACAGTACTTCCTCTGGTGCAACCTCAGCACACCCTTCTCCACATCTCTCTCCACGTGCATCCCCAAGTAGTACTTCACCTCACCCATCTTGGAGCACTTGAACTGCATCTCCAGCATCTGCTCTGCGCTGTCCAGCAAAGCAGTGGATGCAGAAAAGAGAAGGATATCATCCACGTACACCAAGAGCATGAGGATTTCATCCTTCTCCTGCAGCAGGAACAGGCTGGGGTCACACTCACTCTTCTTGAAACCCCCAGCCAACAGCGCCTCCTCCAACTTGTGATACCATGCACGAGGCGCCTGCTTAAGGCCATAAATGGCCTTCTTCAGCCTGCAGACCCTGCCGCTCCCATCATCCAGCCCCTCTGGCTGCTTCATGTACACCTCCTCCAGAATGATCCCATTCAGAAAGGCAGTCACAATGTCCATCTGCCGTATCTTCCATCCCAGGAGTGCAGCTATCGCTAACAGCACCCTCAGTGTTGTTCCTTTCCCCACAGGAGCAAACACCTCATCATAGTCCTTCCCCTTTGTCTGCTGAAACCCCCGTGCCACAAGCCTAGACTTGTAGCGGGTCAGCTCCCCTTCAGGTCCATACTTGTGCCTGTAGATCATCTTGGAAGTGATTGCCTTCTTTCCAGGAGGCAAGTCACACAGGTCCCATGTCTCGTTCTCAATTAGGGACCCGAACTCCTCATCCTCACTCGCCTTCCACTTCTCCCCATTTGGTCCATTCAAGGCCTCTTCTCGAGTCTTGGGCTCAGGGATTGGTGCCCAGTAGCAGTGAGCGATCTCATCTTCCTCAATCTGCTCAACCACACTCCCAGCCTGCACCACATTCGGCCTGCCTCTTCCCCCATAGGTCAGCCTCACTGGAGGGCGCACATCCCTCCTAGGACGCTCAGGCGGGTGTGGAACTCGAGGTGGAGACTCATGCTGCTGCTGCTGCTGCTCTACTGCTGTTGGAGTCTTCCCATTCCAAGGGATGATGGGCAGCTGCCACAGGTCCTTGATGCAGCTGGTCTCCTCTTCCAGACTCCACAGCACCTTCTTCCCAAGCTTAGCACGGCAGCTGGTTGGTCCAAAGGTCACTTCGGCCTTACTCTTCTGCAGTCGCCGCACAGAGAGAAGGTTAGCAGACAAGCCTTTAACCAGCAGAACATTCCCAAGCCCCACAAGCTCCCCATTAGCTCCCTTAACCTTGGCATTCCCAACACCAATCACGGGGAGCAAAGCACCTGACGCTGCTGCCACATACTTAATCTTCCCAGGGGGTTTTACCTCATCAAGCAAATCTGCCCGTGGGGTCATGTGACTGGTGCAACCTGAATCAATCACCCAGTGCGTGAGAGGGTGCATCACAACCTTTCCCACAGATCCCACATCACCCTCATGCCCATGCACATCCTCAACCATAAGATACATCCCAGGATAGGCGTTACCTTGTGCACCTTCACCTTGTGCACCTGAGCCTTGCACAGCGCCACCTTGTGCGCGTTCACCACTTGGCGGCTTCATGCCTGGAGGTGACCATCCCTCCGGCCTGCTGAAGCACTTGAACCAAGGATGCCCGATCTTCTTGCAGTACCAGCAGGTGCCCTCCATTCTGGTGCTCCCCCTGCCACTGGAGCTTCCATGCCCCTCATTATAGTCACCTCGGCCTCTACCTCTGCCAAAGCTCCTCCCACGGCCTCGGCCTTTCCAACCCCCTCTTCCTCTGCCGCGCCCTGCAGCTCCATACCCCTCAGCAGTCTTAGTGGCAGCACCGCCTCCCACATGGCGTCTGCGGAAGTCCTCCTGCAGAATCTGCTGCCTTAGCCACTCAGGTGTCCATTGATCTTGCTGAGAGTTGAGGGTGGGGATGAGGTTATCCCACGAGTTGTCCAACACCGAGATGATCTTGGTGCACTGCTGCAGCTGAGATACACTGCTGCCCGCTGCTGCCATCCTTGCATAGGTGTCCTTGATCTTGTCAAGGACCGGCTTCACATCGTCCCCTGGTCGCATGGAGATGGCAGCAAGTTCCTTCTCGAGCACGATCACCATCGGGAGAGTGTTGGGCTGAATCACATCGCGTAGTAGTTTCCACGCCCTTGGACCCGAATCATCCGCTTCCACAAGATCCTTGATGTGCTCGAACATCTCCTTGTTGACCGATTGAAGGATGAGGTCGAAAAGCACCGCGCTTTTCTCAATCCACCGTTCGCGTGCTTCGCCTTCTTCCGGCATCTTCTCTTCCCCAACAGCAATCTTCAGTAGCTTGTAGCGTTTGAAGGCACTCCTCATCCGTCCGCTCCATTCCTCATAGTTGGAGCCATCCAAAGCTTCAACTTTTGATGGCGGCGGCTCACTTGTCTTCTCAGCTAAAGCTCCTCTTCCATTAGCATCTCCTCCTCTCTCATTCATCTTCTCCTTGAGAAATGACGAATTTCAGCCCCCCTTTGCTGTCCACACTCAGCTCCCTCGATATTTTCACAAGTGTCGGCGTCCACGAAATTTCGGCAGAGTTTCCCTTAGCGGAAGACACATCCAACCTTTAGAACACCACTTAGGCACACCCACAGGCCATGGTGGGTCTAGAAGGGTCTTCACACTTCTGTAGACTCCTCTCAACGTCCTTAATACAGCTCTGATACCACTTGTTAGGATTAAGGACAGAGTCTAGGTGAACTTAGGAGCTAGAATTACTCAAAATATAAATCCGAAATTCTGGACAGAAAAGTCGTCTTCACAAGAAACAACGTCGACGAAAAACTAGCCGTTGGAATGTCGCGAAACTTGGATATGTTGTAGCTCTTAATCTCAGCTACCGTTCCCAATTTGAATCACGTTGATTGATGAAGTATTCGCGACGCTATGGCTTTCGACGCATTAGGGGGTAAGCTGTAGGAGGAGAACTTAACTCAATCTCAAGAGTTCAATCAAAGTTCAAGAATCTCACAAGGAATTAGAAGGAGCAAGAGAAAGGTTGGGATAGGAAGAGAGGGATGAGAGGGAAGGTCCCAAGAGAGTCCCCAACCAAGGAAACCCCATAAGCACAAAGATTCCCTCCCTATAGGAACCTCAACTTTGACCTTTGTCCCTTCCCAACCAATCCATCCAAGTTGGCCACCCTTGCCAACCTAGCTTGGTTGTTCCCAACCAATTTGCAGCTGTTACAGTAGAGTGACAAATTTCCCAAACCCCAAAGGTCCCAACTCCATATAAATTCACCCCACAACTTCACTTAGTAACCGCCGCAATTGTAACGCAAGCTCATGAACTTTGAATCTTCATAGCTTTCGCGTTGTTGCTCCAATTGAAGAGATTCTTGTTGCGTCGGAAAGATCTTCTCAAGATCTATCATCACAAATACCTGCTCAAACAAAATAACACATAACACATTCCCAAACTCCAGAACACACACCACACAAATGCTTGCACATTCAAACCACACATGCAAGTTGAAAACATGGGATGGGAGGCAGACAGAATGTGATAGCATATGATGACATCACACAACATGCTGCTCACCACAGCAGGGGCTGATGGCATAGTGAAGGTGAGGGGGGCTTCATGACATGGTGTGGGGGAGGTTGGTGGTTGGGGTCAATCCAAGGAATGTTTCTCCGTGAACCCCTAGTGATCCTATTGTTAATCTGTTCCTTCACTGTGCATCCATCTCTTCTAATTGTTGTTGCGTTTCAACCCTTGAAATCCTTCAAGTCTTCCCTTTTCTCTGTGTTCCTCCTGTCCCCTCTCCCTCCCATCCCTGTCCCTCCGATCCCTCTCGCTCCCATCCCTCCCCCACCCATCCCTCTGCCTTCTACCTCTTCCTCCCGCATCCCCACTTCGCCTTTCTCTCTGCCAATCAGGTCTTCTCAGTGGAGTCGCAGCGGCAGCCGAGGTCAGTGCACGTTGGCAGCCTCCCATTGGCCAGCATAGCGCTGCTACCGCCCCCCCCCCCCTCCCACTGCTACCCAGTTGAGATTCCACTTCCACCCACCGAGACTGCATCCCTTGTTACTCCTTTTGACCATGTCCCGCTCGCTCTTCCTCTCCGCCTCTCCCTTCGCCTCCTTCTCCTCCTCATCCACCCATTCCTATGGCGGCTCCCACACAACAAGTCAGACTATGCATGGACCTCCCCCTTTTTGATTTTACTCATAAACAGGTGAAATTACGCATGGTTCTCGGCCCCTTCTCCTCCTTCTGATCCTCCTTGGGCACCCACTCTATTTTCCAACTATGAAGGGGTGTTTGGCTCCCACAAAAAACCCATCCATGCTTTCCCCACCCTCTCCTGTTTCGGTGCTTCAGCCGCTCTGTCCTCTTTTGCTCACTCTGAAAGGTCTCTTTTTCAACAAAACATGTGTCTTTTTCATTTTTTGGGAGCATCTAGCTCCCTCTCCCTCGTCAGTCCATCCACCCCTCCTCTAGCGGAGATTCATCAGCATTTCGCCCGTCCCCCTGTCTATCCTCTTGTCACCTTCCCTCTCCCATCCCTCCCCACCAGTCCACGCACCTCCTTGAGAAGTGCTCCATCCGCGTCTCTTTGCTCCCTCTGTCCCCTCTCCCTTTGACCCTCTCTTTCTTCTGTCCCTTCTCTCTCTCCCTCTCTCCCCATCTCCCCTCCTCTCTCCCCATCAGTCCACCCCCCTCCACTAGCAGAGCTCAATCAGCATGATGCACCAATCACAACGTTCCAAGTGGCCATCCCTGCCACGTCAGCATGGCCCCTTGCTGCCTCAGGATCAGCCAATGATGATATGGGTGAGAATCTCCATCCCCGAGAGGTTTCTGTTAGGGTGGATACCGCACGCACGCTATGAGCGGTTGTGAAGGTTTCCGCAAGTTGTGGATGTTTGAGATCGACATGCTGCTTGTCCCTTGGCAGCTGCAACATGGTTATCCATCAATCAGAATGCAGTGTTACCATCAGACAAGCAACACCCCAGGCACCAAGAGGTCGATATGTATGCCAAACTGTCTAGGCTAGTGTGACTAACCAACAACTATCTGTGCTTGTGGAACTCGGTAGTGCCCTTCTTGTCAACTTATACATTCGTTGTGCATGTATAGTTATAGGCTACACCGTTTCGTGCTCCTAGAGAGTACAACCCAAACCCTGATATCACCCTGTATGCTCATGCTAGAGTTCACTTAGTCATTCTGACAAGGTATCACGCTAGGTAGGTCCCACCCACCCGCGCTTCCGCTCTAGCATACCGTCGAGCGCCCCGCCCGTAGCGCACACCGGCCCTATTTCGTTGCGTCTGCCCTAGCCCGCCACAATGGCCCCTAGCTCGCCGCGCCGGCCCTAGCTCGCCGCGCTGGCCCTCTCCTCGCCACGTCGGCCCCCGCCCGCTCCGCCGCACTGGCCCCTAGCTCGCCGCGCAGGCCCCTGCTCGCCGCGTCGGCCCTAGCTCGCCGCCGGCCCCTCCTCGCCATGCCGGCTGCTCCTCGCCGCGCTGGCCCCAGCTCGGCGCATCGGCCCCAGCTAGCCGCGCTGCCCCAGATCGCTGCGTCGGCGCCAGCTCACCGCGCCGCCCCAGCCTTCCGCGTCGGCCCCAGCTCGCCGCGCCAGACCCACCTTGCCTCGTCAGCCCCAGCTCGTCGCGCCGGCCCCAGCTTGCCGCGCCGCCCCAGCGGGACACGTCGGCTCCAGCTCGCCGCGCCGCCCCAGCTCGCCGCGTCGGCGCCAGCTCGGCGCGCCGGACCCACCTCGTCGCGTCAGCCCCAGCTTGCCGCGCCGGCTCCAGCTCGCTGCGTCGGCCCCGGCCCGCCGCCCCGGCCTTACTCACTGCGCCGGCCCCTACTAGCCACACCAGCCACTGCTAGCCGCTCCGGCCCCTGCTCGCCGCCGCCCCCTGCTTGCTACCGGACCGTTCTCACCGCCGGCCCTGGTTTCTCCTCTGTGCTGGTTCCCTCGCAAGCCATCTCCTCTACCGCACTCCACCATACTTCAACCCTCTCCACTCCTTCCCACCACACTCCACCTCTCTCCACCGCTCTCCACTGCTCTCCACCGCACTCCACCGCATCCGCCTGCTCCCTGCTCCTCCTCCTCCTATGCTCAACGGCTGCTGCAGCTGTAAATCATGGCGGACGCCATTCTCCGCCTGGACGTAGAGGGTCGTGCGGTGGATTTCGCCGACCTGCGCCGACCTGCGCTGCCAGCTCAATGGACAGCGCCTGGTGGGAGAGTCTATGGCTATCCATGTCGACGGTAAGCTGCTCTGCCCCCCAGTGCCTGCTGCCCTTGCTGACGCCCTCACACCTGCTGAGCGTGAGGCTTCCACAGTTGCAGAGCTCGCCAGATTTGTCTAAGAGTCGGGTGACACCAATGCGCAGCTAGCTATCAGTCACGCTCTTCCTCTGTCCGAGCATCCCCGCTTTCAGGCCATTGAGAATGCGAAGGAGTACCTAGATGCAATCATTGCATGCTATTCCACTCCTTCATCTGCCTCTGCTGACCGTGACCTCCTGCCCCTGCTCTTCCCTGATCACGCGCCCCTCCCCACTGTCCCTGATCTTGCCACTCACCAGCGCGCACTTGAAACTAGCTACCGCTCTGCTAGCACTGAGGCTCAGCTCACTGTACTTCCTCCCCCCTTCGACGCTACACATTTTTTCTTAGCCACGCGCTTCCCCGACCGCTTAGCCACTACCCGCGACACCTTACGTAGTCTCCACCCGGCTGACCTCACCCTTGCCGACTTTGTCACCACCCTGTCGATGATAGAGACTCGTCAGCGCTCTATTGCTCGGTCTAGCAGTACTGTGGCGGTCCCTATCTTCCAGGGTTGTGCTCCCTCCCAGTGCACTTACTGTGACGTTTCTACTACTGTCGCTGAGACCATCGTGGCGTCCTTGGTGCAGCCTCGTCAGGGCATAGCCCCTAGACACCCCAGAGGGGGGCGTAAGGGAGGGAAGGGTGCTTTGGGTGGCGACGGTGGCGGGGGAGGTAGAGGTGGTAGGAGTGCAGACAAAAGGGTGGGGACTGACGCCTCAGAGCAGTAGCAGGAGCAGCAGCAGCAGCCGCAGTGGCAGCAGCAGCAGCCACAGTGGCAGCAGCAACAGCAGCAGTGGGGCCCCCTACCACCGTGGTGGCCAGGTGGCTTCGGTGGTGGTGGCCGCGGAGGCTACCCTCGCAGCTTGACGTCGGGTGGCGGCTCCAGTTCAGTGATTTTCCAGTACGAGCTTCAGACTGTTCCACTTCGTGGCACCATGTATGACGGTCCCGGTCACACCGCCCACTGCTACCGCCGCCTCGACAACCTTTTCTGTCTGTGCTTTGTGTTAGAAATAGACTGCAAATACCACTTTTGTATTTGTACTTTTATATCCTAGTTTAGGTTGTGAATGTTCTAGTGGGTTGGGGTGTACTCACAAATCCCAACCTCACCCAATTGTGATCCCCACAATCTCCAATTACCCAATTGGAGATTCCGGAGATCCCAATGGGGATTCCCTCCAATTCCCCCTTCATCCATTCACTCTCACCTTGCCATGTGCTTATAGAGCCTTGGGCTCCTTACCTAATCAATCATTTCAACTCTATTTGTTACACTTTGAGCCTACACCAGACCTCCCGAACTGTTACAGTCTGATATGTCGCCGTGTGCCGGTCTTTGAGATGGATATGGATCAGATCCACTCTGCTGTGTATGCCATGTATGCTGATGACTCTAGTGTTACTGGACCCTATTACCCTGTGTTGTCTAGCCTAGGTGTGTCTCCTGTGTGTATTCTAGGCTCCCCTACTGCATCAAGCATAGGACCCCTTGACTTGTTTAGCCTTGGCTCCACACTAGTGCCCCTGCCGGCAGACTCTACAGCCATGCTCTCCATCACGCTGGACTCGGGTGTGTTCGCCTGCTTCTTTCGCAACCATACCGCTCTCACACCACTTTCAGCACCCGCAATAGTCGCCCTTGCCGACCCCTCCTCCAGTCTGGTAGTTTCACGTAGCTCCACCACACTTCCCTATTCGGCAGTTCCCTCAGGCTCTCTTACAGGTCTGCACATCCCCTCGTTCTCCAAGAACTTGGTTGGTGTCAGCTATCTTCAGGACCTCAGCGTCACCACCACGTTTCCTGGACACGAGCGTTGCGCAGTCTGTACTGAGGCCGCCATTTATGCCCTCCACACCACGTCCCCCCAGGACCCGGTGTCCGGCTTGTTTACTCTGGACACCGCGTCCCGCTAGGTGGCTTTATCCCCCCAGGTGGCTGCGTCTACCCAGGTCGCTGCGGCTTGCTCGTGTCGGTTGCTCACTCACTCGTCGCTTCTGCGGCACCACCGCCTAGGTCACCCTGCACTCCAGCGTCTACGTCACATGTCCTTGCACGGTCTTCTCTTTGGTCTCCCTACATCGCTCCCTGCCCTCCCTCCCTTGTCCGCGCCTCAGTGTACGCCTTGCGTCGAGGGC